CAACTAAGATGAGCAGTTGCTATATGTCATACAGGACAACTGAACAGAGATTAATAGTGTTACGTCTCCGTTTCGTTAATTGATTTTTCCGTAACTTCGTTCCGACGAAATTTTAACGACACAAGTCTTTACTTAATAAAACTGGTTTATTCTTTCCAAATATAACTTTACCGATACACTGAACTCAACGATCGCGCTAAACAAACGAACGTCAATAATACTTCTGACCGCAGTTCAATCACTCACTATCTCTGACTGCACACACATTACCTTCCCCGCTTTTATACCAGCGTAACCTATTTCTAGTAAGACCTTGAACATTCGACAAAGTACATGATAATTCTAGAAACGTTGCGTCACGTGGTCATGTGACTCGCTGACGCAACAGTACTGATAAAATTCATTCAAATTGAATAAAATCATAGCTAAAAATTTGATGATAAACAAAAATTACTATTTATTCAATTTATAGTTGGTTCAAATTATTCAAGTGAAATAATGAAGTAGAATCAAGTATAATGTAAGTTGAATACAGTAGCTTAAAAAGTTAGGTAGAAGGCATCATGTATATCATTCACTTTAGCCTAAAGCCACAGCAGTTCAACTAGTGATAACGTGAACAAATGCTAGAAACTCTTTGAAACAAGACTAGAAAATTAATGTTATAAGAGGTACGGTAAAACCTATCTCTGTGATCTACCTTACTGCAGTAAATTAGATGTATAGCTTTAATATTAATGATACAACCTTTTAGATCTACTCAGTTAATGTGCCAATTCTTTAGGTAAGTTCTCTCAAGTGACAGGGATTTCAGCTCTTTAAACTTACTAATGTCATGGTCATCAGCCCTTAAAAGAATGTCCTGTATGTTGATAAATATAACCATTTTAAAAGATTAAAACAAAAAAGTTAACAGGATTAAATATGTTTTTAATCAGTCAGGAAAAAAAAGTATTCTACCTTTACAGAATTATCCATCATCTCAATTTCTACATGTTGCCATGGGAGTTTTAGTTCCTAAAGAAATCTTTGAAGGAGTATTAAGATGTACAGTTGATATAAATCTGTATTTCAAAGTTGTAACTGACAAAAAAATATTTTATTAGATAAAAATATATAGGGAATTTTCATAATGCCTTGTTTTTGAAATAACCTTGAAAAACTTAAAATTTTAAGAATTATTTAAATAATCCCTACATCATATATATATATCAGAAATAAAAAATAACCCCTTACTATTTAATTTGTTGTTTGACAAATTTTTCTTTTTTTTATGTACATTATATGAAACTCATCCAGTCCTCAGCCACACAGAAACCTGAGATTTAGTTGTGTCTTCTTTTAGGTAATGATCCAGCAACTGATTTGAGAGGAACAGGATTGTTAGGGTTGTTGCACTTGTTGTACTTCATTCTTGACAGTTCTACTGCAGCAACTGCAAAGAAAGTCTACCAAATCTCTCAGGATGAAATACAGGTCAGTATTGCTAACCTGGTGGATTCTATAGTGATTGAAACTATTTTTGTCAATAGCAAAGTGATTGTAACTGACCAGTAACTTTGCATCTTCTTAAGCTTTGGTTTCTAGACCTTTCTAATGTACATGTATGATCATAGCAAAATAATAAAAGGGACTGACAAAACAAAGTTTAATCAATCAAATATATATAAAAGCCAGTTGTATTTTGGTAATGCACTGTTCATCTGTGTCACTTTGCAACAAAAATATGACTTGATATTGTGTATATATAATACTTTTGAACGTTCACAAGGTTTGGCTTGAATTTCACATTTTTATGTTGTTCTACATGTTAGTTTAGGCATGTACTTAACTTTGTGTAGACAATTTAGAGTTCTTGCTAAGTTTCAAAAACATCGAAGTTAAAGGCTAGTGACCATAATTAATGTGTTTTTATTAGGATTTCTTGAAGATTTTTAGTTTTATTACTTTTTTTGGATAAACATCTTTCTTTCTTTTTCTCTCCCAAAGTATTGCTATTAGTCTTAACTAATGATTGCACTTGAAATCTGTAGGTTTAAACTTTGTGGTAGAATTTTTATCATAAACCTTTGGTCTATTGGTTTTGGATGCTTCATCTTCTTTCAGTGTTTATACCATAATTTTTAGGTTATATAACATAATTAGAAAAATACATTCTGCATGCGTGTTTTTTTTTACAAAACTCCAACTCGTCATTCTGATACAGTACTTCCCGCTTCTCACAAGATTAGCTGTACTTATTTATTGCTGCCCTCTATATGCAAACTTTTTTATTATGCATGCCTCAAGCCTTCTGCACCCTCCTATTGGAATCAAATGATTCCAACGTGTGTGTCATGCAAATCACCATGTATCACCTATCCACCAATAGGATCATAGTACACTCATGTGATGCCCTCTACGTGCTCTACTGAACTATCACTTCTCATTTGGCAGTGCTTGCACTCGGACATCTTTCTTTTTTTATGTGGTTTTGTGTTTAAGATCACATTTTCTCAAAGTGGTTTAATTAATTTTATAATACTCAGTTTTTTTTTTTACATTATTTCAATTCTCTTACCCTTATTCCAGTCGCATTCCTTATTTACTTCAAACGATTTTGTTGACTACATCACCATGAATTCTGAAATTAATGCCACCACTTCAGGTGTCACACAATTGACATGCACTCTACCACAGACTTCAGGTGCTGGCAACCCGACAGGAGATTTGTCAACATATATTCACAGGAAAATTGAACATTATATGGGTAAACCTTTATCTCCAGACATTGCCCTTCTTCCTGTTGAACCTGATCAGGTTGACAAGGGCTTTGCTCACCTGTTTAAACTTTCTGAATTTGCTGAGTCTTCTCATACCCTCCTTGAGGATTCTGTTCAGCTGTCCATGGTTTGTTTTGGACTTTATTTCTCAGTTATGTAAAGTTTTATCCCTTGCTCCTATATCTTATGACCCACATTTTTTGTTATTGCATGAACATACTTTCCAACCCTATTTGGTGTTTCCCCCGTCCCCTGACAATCAAGCTCATGCTGACCAATTTACCTCTCAGTTGGGCGATGGTGTTAGTATGTCTCATCTCCCACAGGCTTCGGATCAGTCGGCCCTTGCATTTCATAGGGTGGACTGTCCTTATCTCAACCAACAGCTGTTAGGTACAGTTTTGCCTGTTTGGGGGCAGGCCCCAAATCTTCAGTTAGTCTCACCCATGCCCAATTTTCCCACCATTGTCGTTCCATCACGACCCTTTTGCAGTACCTTTCCATGATCCATTTCCCTTCTGTGACTCTTCACAGAAATCCTGAGGCATTTTATAGGGACACCCTCTCCTTCCTTACCTCCTTGTTGGCTCATTTATCATCTTTGGCTCTGACTTTACATACATGGTAACTTTGTTGTCAGGACTTTTTATGGTCGTGATGCTGTTTTATCTCATACCCATTTACCTGCTCCTTATCTCTGGGACTTGCATATGGCTCTGTTTTTAAGATGTTTCATCTTTGATGTGGTCTGGGAATCCTTGGAGTCTCGGGAGGCATAATTTCCAATCTAGTTTCCCGTTTATCTCAGTCAGAGCCAAGTGTGGCACCTGTTTCAGTTTCCCATCCCTTATCTGTACCTTCTTCCCGTGGTTCCATGGCTCGCCATTTTCTCAGTGATGCACAATTCACTGTTAACAGTTCCGGTGACTACCTGGCGGGTTCAGGCCAAGTAGGAAATCACCTTGTGGCCTTCATTCATCAGTGGCATCCTTTCATCTTGGATGTTTGGGGTTCTTCAGGTTTTGTCAGAGGGATTCGAAATTCTGTTTCTTGTCCCAGGTACCTGTTTCCTTCCCTTCTCCTCAAGATGCAGTAACTTGCCAGCAACTATCAAAAGCGGTACGGAACCTCCTCACACAACAGGCTATAGAACCTCTTCCACATCATTCACCGAGACTTTACTCCCATTGTTTGTTGTTTCCAAAACGATTGGGGACTGGAGGCCTATCATTGATCTGTCCTGCCTCAATCAGTTTGTTCACCTCCCATGTTTCATCACTGAGTCCTACCACAATCTTCGTTGGGCTTTTCTGCCTATCTGCATATTCCCATCTTGAAATGATCTTGTCCTGATCTTTGGTTTGTCCATCAAGGGTGGTATACCAATTTTGCACCCTAACCTTCGGGCCAGCTTTGGCTCCATACATTTTCTGTCAGGTGGTACAAGCTTTTACATAGCTGCATTTCCATTTTTACATAGACGACTAGTTATTTCTGACCCATTCCAAACAAGAGTTGGCCTGTCATACTCATCAGATTCTTCTTGAAGCTGTTCAAATAAGCTGGTTGATCAAGTTGGAAAAGCCCTTCCTATGTCCTACCCAATACCTTGTACATTTGGATGTCTTTTTCAACATTCCCTCAGTTGGGCCGAACCTTCTCCTCTCAGACTCTGTTCTATGGAATTGAGAGTTTGCCATGCCATGTCTGCTCCCTCACTTTCTTCATGCGAGGTTCTATTGCTTTTGGGGATGTGGTCCTCTATGACACCACTAATCTCCCTTGGCCGTGCACACATGTGCTCTCTTCAGTGGCCTCTGCACGATCAATAGAACTTTTCTTGGGATCCCTTGGATGCTCCCATCACCCTTCGTCCTTCCCTTGTTTATGATCTCCTTTGGTGGTTGGACAAGACTCACACATTGGTGGGTGTCCTGCTTCCTCCTTCTTGTCCAGACTTTCATCTGTTTACGGATGCATCCTTTCAGGGCTGGGGTGCATCGGTCGATCACCATCATTGGTCTCTAAATGAAAAATATATCAACATCCTAGAGCTCATAGCTGTTCATCGAGCCTTAGATCACTTTCTTTCCATTCCCAAACATTGTCTGGTAATGTTCCCGACAAGGTGGTCAGTGGCTTTGCAGTCGGTGGAGTGTTCCTCACATCGATGCTTCTGCCACCACCTCAATGACCAGTAACCCCTAATTTGGTCCTTGGTTCCTCATCCTCAGGCTTTGGCTATTGACACCTTCAGCCAAGATTGGGCACACAAATTTCTGTATGTTTATCTTCCTATCCAGTTACTTCATTGGGTAGTTTCCCTGATCCATGCCACTCCGTGCCAGGTCCTACTGGCCAGCTCAACCATGGTTTCCTCGTTTACTCCACCTACAATTATTCCCTTCAGTCCTACTTCCCTTATTATCTGACCTCCTTTGTCAACCCCAGTCACTGGTTCTACATCCCACACATCATGTCCTCTGTTTTCACACCTGGCTTTTGTCCAGTCTTGGCAAGGAGATCTGGTTTCTCCCATCGTGTAGCTTCTCATTTGGCCCAATCCATCTGTCTTTCCTCCATGGAAGTGTAAGGTCTTTCACATGTGGGCCCAGGCTTGGGGTTTTCCGACTGCTCACCCTACTGTTGCTGATGTCTCAGAGTTTCTCATAGGGATTTTTGACTGGGGATCTTCAGTCTCCTCGATTTTAGGTTATCAGGCAGCTTTATTCCATACCTTTCACCTTTTCTCTTACCGCAGGATTTTTTTCTCACCCATCCTAACCATATTGATTCATTCCTTCCAGATTCGTCAACCTCCTCAGTGACCTGCCCTTCTGGATTGGGATATTAATGTGGTCCTCTGTTCCCTTACTTTACCTCCGTTCCAACGTATGCCCTTGTGTTCTTTGTTTCACCTGTCCCTTAACTCTCTCAACATGGGCTTGGTTAATTTGACTGACCACGTGACCTCTTTGTACTCATTTGGAATCTTTATACATTTAATACTTCTAACTTTCTATATAGTGTGTATATCTTCACAGTCTTTCAGTTAATATTATAAGTGTTTCACATACAAAAAATCATATTTTTTAGTGAAGTATTTTTAATAAAATAAAATAAAGATTTGTCTATGAATACATTGAGTATTTGTAACATGAAGCTACATTCGTTTATCCTAAGTAGCTTTAAATTCGTAACAGTATACATCTATATATAATTGAATTTTATTGTTTTATTGCCCTTTGAACTGTGTCTAACTACTATCAGCACCATTATAAGTATTAAATCACTCGGGGAATGTGTAGCTCACGTTTCACTAACGAATTATATTACCCACAAGCTGCTCGCGAGTGCCTCGTGAAACATTTTTATTGTAATATTATTATAATTTATTTTACTTAATTTAATCTTAACAAACCTAAAAGGATCCCTATTTTTACATTTTAGTTACTTTTATAATTATACATAAAGAATAAACATGAAAAACAAGAAATAAAATACTTAACCAATCTTCTTTTTCCTTGCTGTTGGTTTTCAAAGAGAGTTAACACTAATTTTTGTATACTATAGATAGCAATGCACTTAATAATTTTTATTTAATTAAATAATGCACCAAAGAATATAGACTAATAAGGTGCAGAAAGTAGACAAGTTCACTTATCTCTCAAAATTTTCTTGGCTTTCTAACTATGCGACAAGAGCCGCTACAAA